TTTGGGTTTTTTTCTTCCCCCCCTCCCCTTGTCTCTCTAACCTTGAGACAAGCTGTTGTTTGACTCCTTCCATGTAGGCTTAGCAGTATGTTCTCCTGTTGATTACGTAGAGTATTTCCCATGTCAAAAGGAAAACAAACACCTTGGTTCTCTACCATCAGGTCACCTCCTAAACTTGGAGGTCTAGTTGGTAACAGTCCAGTGCACCAGTTTTGCACACTAACAGATTTTTGCTTGAATAACTTCAAGCTGTTCTCTTGGCATGACTGCATTTACTAGCAGCTGATGATCCACTGTCATTCTTAGGGCACTAGGAATTAAATGCACCATGTGAGCAATGTTTAAGGTGGGAGGAAAGAGTTTTTGACATTTTGCCTTGCCTCCTGCTGGGCAGTTTGTACAATGACTGGCTCTAAAGGGGTATTTTTTTTTTTGCCTGTAACTTACCTTTGCCTATAACCTACCTCTAGGTTTGGTGTCATCTATGTAGTAGCTTCTTAAAAACCACAAATGCTCCTCGGGCATAAGGAGGACATTGGGAGGTACTGTTGGTACAGTGCAGTATTTATGACCTTTGCTTAATGTGAACCCATTTTCTCAGAGGCTCTTTCAAGGTTCTTGATGTAATGTGCGTTACAGTATAGTTAGACATCATTGTAACCTGTGTCAAGGGCAGCTGTGGCTTAAGAAAGCCATTTTTTTCCTCTGCATCTATACATACACTTAACTATGGCTTAATTGGAACATATCAGCTTTTTATGTAGGTTCATATGCTAGAGAACTGTAAAAGTACAAGGTAAACAGTACATGGGTTCTGGTGACATCATAAACCATGAAAGCAGAGCTGTAGCGGTTCGTCATCTGAACTTCTCCATTTATTTTATAGGCTTTGTTCAGTTTTCCCTGTTACATTTTATATACTACATGGATCTTACTACAAAATAAAATAACAGTACAAAAGAGGAAATGCTCCCTCTTGTGTGTTGTCTCCTCTTCCTCCCACCAGTACTAGCTGAGGAAGGACAGGTGGATGCAGCAGCTGTTTCAGACAGCACTGCATCCTTGCTGACAGCGACTGAGGATATGTGCAGGACTAGGGAGGATGCTGTTAGAGCTTTAGGATTTCACACTCCCATATACCCACTCTCCTGTTTCCCTGCGGCATTGAATGAAACTGGTTTGTTGTATGGCTAATCTTAAATCAGCTGCAGATGCATTTATTCTGTTTATAAGGAAGAGATGACTTCAGTAATGTGTGCACGGGCACACTGTTGCATTTTGCTGCCTCTGTAAGCTCAAAAAGCAAATGAAGGATACTAGGAAACAGGTATTTGCAGTGTTCTTCCATTTGCTTAAGGGGCATGAGTGAAGAACCTTTCAAAGTAGCAACTGTACTGAGTTTATGTATGGGACATCCCCTCCCCCTAAATACTAATCAGATACTGAAAATTTGTGCTCATTGGTTTCTGATGTAGGAAGTATGTCAAAAGTAATTTTGTGAGAGATTAAGTATTGGAAGCAACAATTCCATAAGTTTATCTAGTTGAACTTTAATTCCTACAAAATACTAATTTAATTTTTTGTTCTTGGTCATGACAATTTACATGTTAAACCCTCACTTTTTCCTATGTTTGGCAACCAGTAAACTTAACTAAATATGCTAGCTTATGTAGTTATATTATCTTCAGTTTTTTCACTGTATCTGGAAACAGTCAACCACTTATGATTTGCTGCTGGAAATACTAGAGCTTATCAATCATTAAACTGATTTTAATTAAAAGTAACCCATCAAGGCTGTTGTGGGAAAAGCTCTTTTTCTTTGTATTTATTCATGGTATAACTCAAACAGTGTTTGTACATGCTGATGGAAATGCAAAGTTAGTAAAAGTAGTTTTGGGGAGTGTTGGTACAATAAAAACTCCCCACGTGAAGGTGGTCATTATAATGTTCTTTGCTTGGCTCAAAGCAGAATAACCACTGTACTTCTGAAACTCTTGTGCTTAATTGCTCACTACTTAAACACTGCTGACATATTAAAGATATTGACATACTAAAGAACTTAGCAGTGATTTGAAAATAGGAAGATAGAGCAGAAAGTAAGTTGAAACATCTCTTGGATTGTATGTGAGACAATCAAAGCTGAATCAGTGAAGACCAAAGAATCAAGAACTTGGCAAATGCTAGTCTTCCTGCCCTGGCTGCTAGTAGATTTGTGGAGTTCCCTAGTTTATGGATGGGGAAGCTGGGACTGGCTGGCTTGTTTGGGCAGGAGAGCAAGTCTGTAAAAACCTGCAGTTGTGGTGCATTTGCTCTATGGGAGGGAAAAAAAAAAAGCTCATGTATGATGGATGGCAGAGATTACAGTACAGCCAGTGACGTTGGTGACTTGGTACTGAGTGCTGGTAAGAGGTATCTTGTGCAGCACTTGGTAACAAAACAAGTTTGGAACCAACAGCGTTGGTGAGGTGGAAGGAGTTGATCTAGAAAGAATATTTAACATACAATACAGACCTTGAGGAAAAACAGAGTTCAGGTGAATTTTCTTCTCCAGCTTGTGTTATGTAGGAATATTTGGAGAGTGCACAAGAATGGTAAGGATTAATTTAGAACTACTGAAGTTTACTGACATATGTTGACAATTCCCTAGTATCTGTCAGCTTCCCATGGGAACTAGGAGTTGCTATGAACTCCTTTCTGCCAGGATCTTCACAAATAATGTTTTGGATTTGGTGTGTACAAAACAAGCACTGGAGGTCTTGCAGATGATTTAATTACTGAGCAGTGTATTGATTGCCCAGTCTATTGCTGTTAACAGGAAGAACTGAAGAAGTTAAAACAGCACAGTAAATCTGCTCTATGTAAGATGTCCCAGGAAGGCTTCTCCTAAGTTTCCCTGGAATCAGACTGTGCTGCCCCAACAGTAGGGATGTAGAGGGGTTGGAGCAAACTGCCCCGTAGGGGAAGGCAAGTGAGTGAATTCCTCCACCAGCCCTTAAGATTAGTCTCCTTTTATTACTTTAAGACAGTGCTGGTTTGTTCAGCAAAGTGAACAGACTGATTGTTCTGGAGATGAAGGTTAATTAAATGGTCCATGTTTTGTACTTGAGCAAATGAAGTGATGCAGAGCAGGAGCACATCACAACACTAGCCATAGCAACTTTATGTAAGTGACAGCAATACAGGGAATGGTTATTCATGTTCAACTGTTTGCTTTCCCATCAATAACTTTTTTCTTTAATCCCCCCCAGTTTGCAGACACTGAAGAACTTCATGGATTTATTCCAAAACATGGGGGCTGCAGTGTTAATCAAGGATTCAGGTAGCCAAGCAGAGCAAATGGAGAGACTAATTCTAAAATCAGTTGTCTTGGTATGTTTGGGTGGAAGTCTGGGTTGATATCTAGAGCAGGATTATTGGGAACTGGGCTTTCATTTCAGACTCTGGCACTGTGTATTTGGCAAGAAAAACCAAGCTTGTACATCTTCCAGTTCCTTGTTTGCCTTTATTTCAGGAGTACTGCTCTACCTCCTATAAGTATGTGGTATGTAAATTAATGAACACAAAACCTGGATGCTTCTTGAGAGAAAAGAGCTACATCTGTGCAAATGGTATAAAAAGCTACTTTACTTCCACATGATAAACACATACTATTTGGTGGGCTTTCAGTACTATTAAACACACTCTCACTAAACAACAGACCTACAGCTTGCTCAGATGCAATTTTTTCTTGGCAACCTGGTATCTGTCAGATTCTCAAATATTAGGCGGCATTTCCTTGAACTTCGCATTGCAGATGGATTTTGTAACTATGCTAAATTAGTTACCTCCTTGGAGTAAAAGGAGATTATCTGCTCATTTGAGTTCTTGAAGTTGTTTCTGATACTTTTGATAAAGTATCAATGCCAAGGCAAACACTGAAACAAAAAATTATATTCCAAGGCCTTTTGACCTTTCAGTGCACATATCCCAGCTAAATAAAAAGTTATGTGACCTCTTGCCCTTTCTTGCAACATCCTTGCAGCAGCTATAGTAACGGCTTATGTCAAAAAGTAATATTAGAAAGTATTTACTGTATTTTTAGATTCTGTCTAATGCAACTTAGCTGGCAAAGAAGAGCCAGCACCGTGTGACCAGCTCTCTGCAGACATTGGGAAATGTGGCACAAACTACATTTTGAGAACATCAGATCTGATTTTGAGGCCATGTGTGAAGCTGGAAATTTTGAAGCAAATTTATTGCTAGACATAGGTAAGTGAAGACTGAAAATCTCAACAGATTGTCAGCAGGATACCAGACCTTTGCACACCAAGAGTGAAGTTCCCTGAAAGGCCTTCACCAATCTCAGACTTCTCTGCCACCTAGGGAGAAAGTCTTCCCTTCCTTTGCTTTCCCAAGCGCCAGCAGTAGTAGCTAATGTCTGAGGTCTACTGGATCAACTTGCTCAACTGGTTGTAGATGACTTTAAAAAAAAAAAGTTAGTTTTCAGATAGTTTCAGCTCACCTTACTGTGAAGTCCAACCATGCAGTTCTCCATAGTAGTACTGGCATGTGCTAAAAGCTCAACCATTCCTCTTCCTGACAGCTTGCTTTGGTTGGCTTAGCCAGCTTGTGAAACTGCATCCTGAGCCATGGTGGCTGTATTTGAACCTGTAGGTCCCACAGTTCGTTCTGTGTAAGTGGGTGCCT